ATGCAAAACTCTACACTTGCCCTTGTTGAACTTCATCATGTTTCTCCCTGCCCAACTCTCCGGCCTGTCTAAGTCTCTCTGAACGGCAGCACAGCCTTCTGGTGTGTCAGCCACTCCTCCCAGCTTAGTGTCATCAGCAAACTTGCTGAGGGTACATTCTGTTCCCTCATCCAGGTCGTTGATGAAGATGTTGAACAACACCGGTCCCAGTACCGACCCCTGTGGGACTCCACTAGTCACACACCTCCAACCAGATTCTGCCCCATTGACTACAACTCTCTGACTCCTTTTTTTCAGCCAGTTTTTGATCCACCTCACTACCTGATCACCAAACCCATACTTGATCAACTTATCTACAAGGATGCTGTGGGAGACGGTGTCAAATGCTTTACTGAAATCGAGATAAACCACATCTACCGCTCTAATTAACTACTTTGTTCCTGGGAGAACAGCTTATTGGAAAAAAACAAAACCTTGAGGTTACGGGGATTCTGAGCTTCAGAATTAAGAGGTTTCCTGCACAAGATCCTTCGTTAGTGGAGTTGGCAGAGAACTCAAGAAGGTTGGCCACCCTGGTGCTCCCTAAGAGTAGTCTGAAGCTGAAAGCTTTCTGAGCTTGACTTCCTTGGAAAAACAGAAAACATACAGGACAGGTCATGCGAAGTTGCCAGAACCAGCTAAAAATAGCCTGCACTTCTAACTAATACCACTGCTTCCTTCTGCCTGCATGAATGGGAGTAACTATGAATTTATTTTCCTTATTGAGAAAATGCTTTGTGTTCCAGAAAGATGAGGGCTGGTGCATTTCTTTTCTTCCTATCAGGGTGATTCCATGTAATTCTTATCTGAGTGGGTGTCAGCACCAAATTAGTGGCTGTGAGCCACCCCTGTGCTTACTCGGAGGGCAGGGGAGGGTGTGGGTGTGCTCAGGAGGCTTCAACAAAATGCCTTACTCTGTGTTTACACAGCAGTGCATTTTCTGCTGCATCCCCTGCCTTGGTGGATGAAGCAGGAATATTTACAGATCTACAGATTATGGAAAGAGGAGGAACAACCACCTCTTCCTGGGCACACTTGTTTTCTTAAGGCACCTATTTGCACCTCTCCTTTTTGGGACATGTGTGCAGCTGGCCTTGACTTAACTTCTTGTGCAAATTGTCTGTGTTGTTCTGTCTGTGTTGTTCTGTCTGCATTCCAGCTTGGACGTGGTTGTGAAATCCTACAGCTCTACCAACCATGTGCAGCCTGGACCTTTGGTTCCATAAATCTGAAGAAATGCTGGAGGCAAATACTTGGGGCGCAGCTGAGAACTTGGGGCCTTTCCTACAAGTCCTTTGGGACACAGGAGTCACCTTCAGCTCCCACAACACTAAATCTTGCTCTTCTGCTGGACTCTCCCTTCCCCAATATTTTCAGATAAAACCGTGAATAAATGGAGTTGCCCAGAATTAAGCATGTCTGGAGATGCCCATGAAGCTGATGATCCCCAACCAGCCTTATCTCTCCTCTTCTTAAGGGTAACTTGTCACAGGCTCCATGATTGCCCTGGGTGATTTCTCTCCATTTGAAACCACCTCTGCCCAGTTGCAGACTTGCCACTGCTGGCTCATTGCATGGTACAGCCCACACCAAGGTTTCCTCTGTGTGCATCCAACAGACCAGGCCAGCAGGTGTGTTGGGGCAAGCCAAAAGAATGTGCATATGAATTGCCAGGGGCTTTGTCTTGCTGCTAAAGTGGTTTTTGCCCTGTTTTGACCTGCTTTTGTGCATATAGGGATGCTAGAAGAGCCCAGCCTCTGGTTGCTGCTGTGCCAGGGCATCACCGCCTTGACAGGGTGAGGTCACAGATTTAAAGTGCTTTGGTTCTGTTGTCTGTTCTACCAGGAGGGACAGATGGTACTGGTGTTTCTTCTCAAGGCTCAGTGATGCTCTCAGCCAACACAGCCCTGTGGCCAGACAGCCTCTGCTCCTACCCTGCAGCAGGATGAGGAAGAAGGTGGTTCCTTGCCAGTGTCTGGGCAGACAAATGGCTTTTTATTGGGGCAGGATAACTGATTTCTTCTGTTCCTCCCTGCCAGCACTGTCAGTACTGTGTCTTCAGTTTCCTCCCCTTCTCCTTCCTGCTTTCCTTCTGGATCAGATCCACTTCACATTTTCCATCTGTTATTTTCTCTGCCAGCTTGCTGGCTGGCAGGGAGCTCCAGCATGCCAGCTGGGTCTGCTCTGCCTTCAAGATCACAAGGACTTCACCAGCCACTACAAGTCCTCTGAGATCCTGGTTTAAAAGAAGTTTCTAAATTCTTGCCATGGTCCATTTCTCTGTGTTTGCCTTCAACAGTGCCTGGCAAGTTCCTTTGACTGCCACCCAAGGAAGGCTCTGAACAAAACACACAACTTAGTTACACATCCATTTCTTTTTTCCTTACGCTTGTGGGCATCCAGCTCTGCCTGGCCACAGAGCTCATTTGCATACCTTTAAGCACACAATGGCAGTGCTATAAAGATTGTGTCATAACCATAAGTCAACCTTGCAAAACAAGCCTTATTGCTGGGACAGCTTCACTGTGCACTAGCTCAACACAAATAGATGTTTGCTGTTTTAGTCAATGCTCAGGTTCATTGCTGCGTTGCTGGGTAAGAAGGCAGGTGCTTTGTTGACTGACTATACAACTCAGTTCATTTGTAGCAGTTAAACTTCACGAGCGTTTTCCTTGTTTGCAAGTTATGAAACACCTCCCTCGACCATCTCAGGTGAGGAGAGGGCTGGCATGACCTCAGGGGGACTCATCTCTGTGCCTTGGATCCCACAAAACAAAGGGCAGCCTCACAGGTCACACACCCACCAGTCCTCTGTGGAGGGTGAGGACAGTGTTTTAGACCCCAGGTTCCTTGCCATGATCCTTCAGTATTCCCACATGGAGGGGCAGCCCTGGGTGTGCTGTTGGTCTGGGGGTCCTTTGTGGAGCAGCCAAATACCTGCTGTAAGCATCAAATGTCAGTGCAAGCCTCACCCTGGGGCAGAATGTGACCCAGGGGCTGAATTCCCTGAAGCCTGAGCTTGATCTCACCACCTTCCCAAGTTCTCCAGCTCCATCTGCACAGCTTAGCAGGACCTTCACTGGAGGCAGCTACCTCTATCCTACCCTTATTTAGCCTATAAAGGATCCCTGTGTTTGCCTGGGAGAGGCTGTCACCCTCAACAGCGTCTCTCTGAAGCACCTTGCTCATCCCAGCACAGCAGTTCTATTTCTGACCAACTAGATCAAATATTTTCTCCCAAATTTATGCAGAAAATTCTAAGACAGATCTACCAGTACCTTTGACAACAGTTAGAAAAACTAACTGTTTTGGACTAGATGATCTCTAGAGGTCCCTTCCAATTCTGACAAATCTGTGATTCTGTGAAAAAGAGATCAATTTAAAAATACAGTAGTAACTGCTCCCTCCCAAAGAGAGGAGATGCCATAATCTCAACCGTAGAGCCACCATCCTGTGACAGCCTTCTCCCACCTCCCAGTCGAAGTGGGCACAAGTGTTAGAGCTGCTGAAAGTAGACCTAGATTAAGATTAAGTCTGCAAAATAATCCTATGGGATAGCTCCAAGAGTAGGAAATTATATTCTGAAATAATGACACTGGATTGCATTTTAAAATATTAACTCTCTGCAGAGAGAAGCCTGGAGATTATTTTATCTTGAGAGGATTTGTTAAAAAAAAAAAAAAAGCCACTGTTGCTGGATGTGCCAAGAAGGATGCAGCTCAAAATATCTACCAACAGTCCTTAGTTTTAAATCTTTATTTTTACCCCCTAAAAGAGATGCTTTGAGCGCATCACCACAGAGCTTGCCCCTGGCCCTTGTCCTCCACTGTGACAACAGATAGAGAAATATCTTGGGATCCAGCATTCCCAAACACCCAACAAGCTGGATGAGGACAGGAGAAGATCCTAGGAACATTTGTGGCTGCTGGTTATATATTTTTGCAGCTTTGTTCTGGTTCTGGTCAAGACCTTCAGCCATCTGTGCTGGTCCGTGCCACCACTCACTCCACCTTTTCTGTGGATGCCAATCACTCAGATATTATCTAAACATGGAACTATTTGCATAGCTCAGATTTACAGTTCCTCAGAAGCCATCCTCATCCACTGACTTCCTTGTCAACACCTAGTTGTGTCCTTGCATGCTGATGAGACATGCTTTGTATCATCCATGCTTACTGTAGAACATGGCACTTGGGGAGCAGGTGTCTGGCCTGGATTAATCATAAATGGCTAATTCCTGGCCCCCCACATGCTACTGCCATGCAATACCCTACTGAAATTCCTGCCTGAATTCAAAACTGGAGTTAACCCTGCACCAGTGGCCATGTTTTAATCACAGAATCACAGAATATTAGGGGTTGGAAAGAATCTCTGAAGATCATTGAGTCCAACCTCCCTTGCCAGAGTGGAACCAAAACTAGGGCAGATCACTCAGAAAGGCATCCAGACAGGTCTGGAAATTCTCCAGAGAAGGAGACTCCACAGCCTCTCTGGGCAGCCTGTCCCAGGGCTCTGTCACCCTCACAAGAAAGAAGTTCTTCCTCATGTTGAGCTGGAACTTCCTGAGCTCCAGTTTGAATCCATTGCCCCTTGTCCTGTCACAGGGCACAAGTGACAAGAGCTTGTCCCTGCCTTCTTGCTGCCCTCATGTATTGAGAGACATTAATTTAGATCCCCCTTCAGTAGTCTTCTCTCCAGACTGAACAGCCCCAGGTCTCTCAGCCTTTCCTCATATGACAGATGTTCCAGTCCCTTCATCATCCTCGTAGCCTCTGTTGGACTCTTTCCATTAGATCCCTGTCCCTCTGGAACTGGGGAGCCCAGAACTGGACACAACACTCCAAGTGAGGTCTCACCAGGTCCAAGTAGAGGGGGAGGAGAACCTCGCTTGATCTGCTGGAGACACTGTTCTTAATGCACCTCAAGATACCATTAGCTTTCGTGGCCACAAGGGCACATTGTTGTCCCATGGAGAACTTGTTGTCTCCAAGGTCCATGCCTGCAAGAGCTCAAAGGCCTTTGCATCCTCTCTCTGGCAGTTCATCACAGCAGCAAAATAAAACCAGCTATCTGACCCTTTCTGTCCCTGCAGAGACAGGGACATGAGACCTTACTTATTAATTAATATAAGTGAGTCAAAGAAACACAATCATCAGTACCTATCACCATGTAATCACAGAGATTTAGCCTACAAGGACCTACTGGGGGTTTCTCATCTATCTGCTGGCCAAAGCAGGGTTCACTTCAAAACCACACAAGGTTGCTCAGGGCCTTGTCCAGTCTGGTGGTGATGTTTTTATGGTTGGGGAACCGTCTCCAAATCCTTGGGCCTGTCCCATAGATGCACCATGCTTATGGTGGGCATTTTTTTCCTTTTCTGTAATGTCCCTATGTCACTTTGAGCTGTTGCCTCTTGTCCTTTCTCTGCTTCTCTCTGAGAAAGGTCTGGGTTTGTCTTAATAAAGGCAACATGGAAATCTTCTCTTCTCCCATGAAACAAGTCCAGATTCTTCAGCATCTCCTCATATGCCACATGCTCCAGTCTCAACCATCTTAGTGACCCTCAGCTGGTCTTTGCGGTTGACCAACCTTTCAAATGCACCTCTGGAAGGATATTGTCAAAGTCCTTTTTCCACAAAAACAGGTGAGATCAAGTGGTCAGTGATGTTACTTAGAATCCCAGGCAGGTTTGGGTTGAGGGGACCTTAAGGATCATCTAGATCCAACCCCCTGCATGGGCAGGGACACCTCCTACCAGCCCAGGCTGCTCCAAGCCCCATCCAACCTGCCCTTCAACACTTCCAGGCACGGGGCAGCCACAGCTTCTCCGCACCCTCACAGGAAAGAATTTCTTCCTGATATCTAATCTAAACCTATCTTCTTTCAACTTTAAACCATGTCCTCTCGTCCTATCACTAGTTCACCTCCACTGCAGCATCTCTTTCTCAGGAGCCATCTGTCTACATGCCCATTAGTATTTTGCCTGTGTCTTTGGATTTTTTCTGTGTGTTTTTCCCATCACGCACCATAGACTCCAGAAAGGTTTAAGACCAGCCAAATGGCACTCACAGAACCATAGAATCATAAAATGGTTTGGGTTGGAAGGGACCTGAAAGATCATCCAGTTCCCAACCCCCTGCATGGGCAGGGACACCTCCCACTAGACCAGGTTGCTCAGAGCCACATCCCACCTGGCCTTGAACACTTCCAAGGATGGAGCTTCCACAGCTTCTCATGTTCTATCCCAGAGAAATGTCTTTGTCCAGACTCACCAGGGCACTCAATAGGCTTTGTTTTGGGCTTCTAGTATTTTTATTTTTCCATAGGAAAGGTTTTGCTGAAGGAAGGACAGCAAAGCTGCATGGGTGCTTTTCAGAGCTTTACCCAAGCTCATGATGCAGTCCTCTCTGAAATCGTCATCAAGTCCTTATGGGCAACTGGGCCCTGATAGATGCATGCAGGAGAGATGAGGCCAGAGCTTTTCATACCTGGGGCACAGAAGGCAGAGAGGGGACCAGTTCTGGGAACCTCAGTTCAAGAAGGACAGGGAACTGCTTGAAAGAGTCCAGGGCAGAGCCACAAAGATGATCAAGGGAGTCAAACATCTGCCT